GACGGCCAGTGAATTCGTGCTCGCTAGCCTGTTTATCCCTGCGCGCTGCCGGAAAGACATGTAGATGTGCCCAACGTGCGCTCGCGGGACATCGGTCGGCTCGAGGAAGTCAGACGCGCACTCACTGAAACAGGTCCGCCCCATACATGCATGCATGCATGCATGCATGCATGCACGCACGGGCTGCATGCATGCATGCATGCATGCATGCATGTATGTGGCGGACCTGTTTCTTTGAGTTCGCGTTTGACTTCCTCGAGCCCCCCGATGTCCCCCCAGCGCACATTGGGCACTTCTACATGTCTTTCCCGCAGCGCGCTGGGATTAACAGCAGCTAAGGCTGCCACGAAGTGCTGCTGCCCCACCTCCAGCCGCTGCAGCACCTGCAGCAGCAGCAGCAACAGCAGCAGCAGCAGCAGCGGGGGTGCCGAAGGCACGGGAAGCAACAAGAACCAGCCCCAGAGGAGAGAGCAAAGAAGCAGCCAAAAGACCTCCCATCTGGTAGCTGCAGCAGCAAAAACTGCCGCTGCTGCTGCTGCTGCTGCTGCACCTCCAGCCACTGCTGCTACAGCCACCGCCGGCGCTGCAACTGCAACTCCTGCTGCAACTGCAACTCCTGCTGCAACTCCAACTACTGCAACTGCAACTACTGCAACTGCACCTACTGCGACTACACCTACTGCAACTGCTGCTGCTGCTGCACCTGCAGCAGCAGCAGCAGCTGCTGCTGCTGCCACAACTGCACCCACAGCAATTGCTGCTGCTGCTGTCAAAACTGCATCCCCTGCAACTACTGCTGCTGGTGCTGCCGCTGCTGCTGACCTGGGGGTCGACGGCGTCTTTGTCGAAGTCGATGTGCTGCAGCTGCTGGCGAAGACACAGCAGCGCAGCTTCGAGGCAAAGCTGCTCGAGGTCTGCGCCCACAAATCCGTGGGCATCTGCTGCTAGCCGCTGCAGGTCCACATTTGCTGCTAAACGCATGCGCTGTGTCTTCTTCTTCAGAATTTCCAAACGGCCCGCAGCGTCCGGCACAGGCACCTCAATTTCCCGGTCAAAACGCCCAAACCTGCAGCAGCAGCAGCAGCAGCAGCGGCTAGGGCGCTGGGACAAGGGGGGTGCAGCAGCAGGCGCTAGAAGCAGCAGCAGCAGATGCTGCAACCCAACAACCAGAAACACCAGCGGTAGCAGCAGCAGTAGCAGCAACAGTTGCGGAAGCAGCAGGCTGGGGCTGGAGCAACGGACTACCCAGCAGGAACTGCTGTTTTGGCAGCAGCAGCAGCAGCAGCAGCAGCAGTTGCAGCGGCAGCCTCACCGGCGGAGAGCGGGGTCCAGCTGGTTGGGCCGATTTGTTGCAGCTAAAACGACGACGTTCTTGTTAGCTCCAATTCCGTCCATCAAAGTCAGCAGCTGCAGCAGCAGCCGCAGCAGCACAGCAGCAGCAGCAGCAGCAAGCGCATGCGCCAGAAGCCAAAGTCAAGGGGGCAATCGAAGCAAATGAAAAGACAGCAGCAGCAGCGGGACTTCTCAAAGATATAAAAACCAATTTATGACAAAAATGCAAATAAATGCATGCACTAAAAACAAGAGGCAAAAAACAAATAAACATAAACAAACAAATACATAAGTTTAAACGTAACAAAAATTAATTGTGTAAATAAATATATTTTTAGAGGATGATATGCATGGGACTGCATGCAAACATAACAAGCCAAAAGTAATGATTCAATTATTAATTCGGGGAGACTTTAATTAGATTTGTGGAAAATTTGCACTTGAATATATTTAAATAAATAAAAATGAAAAAGACGTTTAGACGCATGCAAAGGACGTCCAGTGTACGTACACCTGAATCCACGTGTGGGGCCCGCGCATGCATGCACACGCCAGCCCCATAAAAGAAAAAAGTATTATTTTAAATGCATGCAAATGCACTTTCCACAAAGAGAGTCAATTGCGGTGTATGTACACCTCAGGAAATACTGGCGCATGCAAAGCTGGTCAGAAGACACCCGGAGTCAGGAAAAACAAAAGAGAAATAAAATGAAATAAAGAAGAAAAAAAAAGAAAAAGGTCTTTAAAACAAAACACTCTGAGATATTTAAGAGAGACCCAAAGCTCCAAGCAAAGAGAAGAAAAAAGAAACAAGAGTAAACCAAAATAACAAACAGATACACCACGACACTTCTTGCATGCACTTGCTGCATGCATGCACTTGCTGCATGCATGCACTTGCTGCATGCATGCATTAACTGCTGCATGCACTCGCTGCTGCATGCACTCGCTGCTGCATGCATTACTAGCTGCTGCATGCATTACTAGCTGCTGCATGCATTACTAGCTGCTGCATGCACTACTAGCTGCTGCATGCATTACTCGCTGCTGCATGCATTACTAACTGCTGCATGCATTACCAGCTGCTGCATGCATTACCAGCTGCTGCATGCATTCCTAGCTGCTGCATGCATTACTAGCTGCTGCTGCATGCACCACTAGCTGCTGCTGCATGCATTACTCGCTGCTGCATGCAGCAGGTGGTGTGGGGTGTGGGGCGCGGGGTGTCTGTACACCTGGGCGACGAGTCTCTTTTCGAGTTCGCCCTGGGCCTTTTCTCGCTTGGCAGCAATTGAATCAATTTCATCAATGAAAAGAAGACAAGGAGACAAGTTTGCTGCTTCTTCAAACACTCGCCGCAGGTTCGCCTCCGTCTCCCCAGCCATCCGGGACTGCATGCGCAACACGCAAAAACCTCCTGCTGCTGCTGCTGCTGCTGATCATGCTGCAGCAGCAGCAGCAGCTGTTGCAGCGGCGGCTGCAGCCGGCGCTGGGAAAACGCTACTGCAGCGCCAACGCCGCCGCCGCTGCTGCTGCAGCCGCTGCTGCTGCTGCTGCTGCTGCTGCTGCTGCTGCTGACCATGATTTCTGGCCCGTTGACGACGAGGAAGTTGGCCCCACACTCTGTGGCCACTGCTTTGGCCAAAAGGGTTTTGCCAACTCCAGAAGCTCCGTGCAGCAAAACGCCGCGGGGCGTCGAAATGCCCATCTGCGGGGACACACAAACCCTATACCCTAAACCCTAAACCCTAAACCCTAAACCCTAAACCCTAAACCCTAGACCCTAGAACGCTAGCTAGGGCCTAACGACCGGGACACAAACCCAAATCCTAAACCCTAGACAGCTAGGGTTTAGCTGCTGGGAACGACACGATCCCAAACCTTTAACCTTAAACCCTAACCCAAACCCTAAACCCTGGGCCCTTAGGGTTTAGCCGTGGTAAACGGGCTTTTGACTATTCTGCAAAACTAAACCACAAAAGAAAAATAAATTTGACTCCGAAGCTGCCTCTAAATGAATTGCTGCTAGACTCAAGCAGCAGCAGAAGGGTAGACAGCTGCTGCAGCGTCCCATGCTGATGCTGCAGCTGGTACCTTTGCTGCTGCTGCTGCTGCAGGTCCCCTTGCTGCTGCTGCTGCAGCAGGCTCCGCTGTCACAGCCGCAGCGGCAACTGCAGCAGCCGCAGCAGCCTCAGCAGCAGCCGCAGCAGCCTCAGCACCACCAGCCTTAGCAGCAGCCCTAGCAGCAGCAGCAGCAGCAGCAGCAGCAGCAAACCTGTTTGAAGACACTGGGGAAGCGGAGGGGCAGCTCGACGAATTCGCGCAGCAGCTGCACTTCGCGGCGAAGGCCCCCCACGTCGTCGTAGGTGACCTCGCTCGCAGAGTCAAACGTCTCTGCAGCAAACCCTAAACCCTAATCCCTAAACCCTAAACCCTAAACCCTAAACCCTAAACCCTGAAGAATGAAGAGTGAAGAATGGAGATTACAGGCGAGGGTCCTGTGGGCCCCGACGGGCCCGAGAACCGGAACCCTCAGACCAAGACACGAAACCCAGAACCCTAAACCCTAAACCCTAAACCCTAAACCCGAAACCCTAGAGGGGCTTTCTTTAGGGGAATTTTCTAAACCTTGAAAAACAAAAAAAGGTTTAGAATAAAAGAAATTAAAAAAGACAAAAAGAAACTGAATCAGAGAAATAAGGGACAAAAAGAGACAAAAAAGGACAAAAAGATATTTAAAGGGACAAAAAAGAGAAAAAGAAACAAAGAAATAAAAAAGAAATGTTTAAATCAAAAAGAATTTAAAAGGAGATAATAAAAAAGAAAAAAGAAAAAAGAAAAAAACAAGAGAAAAAAATAAAAGCTGAGACAGCAAGAGAGCAAAAGGCGAAAATAAAAAGGATTAAAAATTAAAGTAAAAAATGAAAGCATCGAAATAAAAAAATAATACAAGAAATAAAAGTAAAAAGACATATCTTCCGATCTTAAATGAAACATTTAGAAGAGTAAAAAAGCAAGAAGAATAAAAATAAAAAAGACAATAAAAGAAACAAAAGAAGACAATTAAATAAATGAAAGAAACAATTGGAAAAAGAAAAGAAACAATTCAAGAAAAAAAACAAAAAGGAAATAAAAGAAACAAAAAACGAAAATGAAAACGACAAAAAATGAAACACTGAAAAAGAAACAAAAGGGGGCAAAAAAAGAAAAAAAAACAATTAAAAGAACAAAAAGGCAATTAAAAGAATAAAAAGACAAACAAAAGAATAAGGAGACAATCGAAACAGCAAAACAACAATTAATATGCAAAAAGAAACGAAAAGAAAAAACAGAAAAATAGAAAAGAAAAAATAAATATTTAATTCCCAATTTCTTTACCTCTATCTAGTCCTTCTTGTCCAGTATAAACTTCAGCTCCTTCTCCCACAAGAGCAAATTCCAAATCCTTATCAACATCTCCATCCAATCTCATTATTTTAATTTCAATTTCCGGAACTGTACCCTCCTGGGGGCCCCCCGGGGGGCCCCCCTGGGGGCCCCGGGGGGGGCCCCCCAAAGGGTACAGGGGAATCTTGTACTGGTCCCCCACCCTCACTGGCCTCGCTCGAGACCTCAAGAAGTTATCGACAGCTCTTTCAACATCTTCCCAAACAAGGGGGGCCCCCAGGGGGCCCCCCAGGGCCCCCCGCCCCGGGGGGGCCCCCTGGGGGGCCCCCCGGGGGGCCCCCAG